ATATATATATATATATATATATATATATATATATTATATATATATATATATATATATATATATATATAGAGAGAGAGAGAGAGAGAGATAATTGACTATGACTTTTTTTAGCTTTTGAAATGAGTATTAGGGTAATGTGGTTGAATTTGTATTACTCTCTCTCTCTCTCTCTCTCTCTCTCTCTCTCTCTCTCTCTCTCTCTCTCTCTCTCTCTCTCTCTCTCTCTCTCTCTCTCTCTCTCTCTTGAACGAGGTGAATGGGTTAGTGGGCGGTGCTTGAGTAATTTCTTAAGGACTTTTATATTTTATTTTTTGGTTTGTAATATTTCTGTTGATTAGCGGAAGGAAGGAGCTTTGAGATTGCCTTAACGAAACTATTCACTAATTAGATTTTTCGTACATTTGCTTTTGCGTTTGAGATTTGACTGAATAACGTAAAATATTTCCTTCTTATTGTTGATGTTTAGTGTGGAGAGAATAAATGAATATATACAATAGACAATAAGTTGGTTAGAGTTTGTGTTACAATCTTCGTAGATTTTTTAAATTAATTCTGTTTAAGTGTAAATATGTTTATTATGTATCTCTGCGCTCAGTGTATGTTTAATTGTAGAATCTATGTTATTTATTTCGGATCAATTTGCACTGAACGTTCACTTTAAAAAAATGAAAATATGTGTAATTTGGAATTTGAATTAGTTAAAGAGCCAAGAATTTATTTCATTTTACGTCTGTTACCATGAAGCTTAATTATAAAACCACATAAATGTACATTTGCACAATACTCCCCTGAAAACGTTTATTTTTTATTCTTTCAGACACTGTTATTTCTTTAGCGACTCTGAACACATATAAAACAAAAAAGAGAGAAATTTCCTATAGCCTAATTTCACTACCCATTAATGTTTGGAGTTCGTAATATATTCAAAGCGTCGTTTTATCTAATCTGTGACCTATTATGACGAAGAAAATGAAGATGCTATCAGATTAATTTTCAAAACAAATCCAATATATGACACCGCTGGCAACACCAGAGCGCGCCTGTGATTGGCCGGCAAGTTATGACGTCAGAGGACATTGACGTGGTCTCCATTGTTCAGCGTTCATGAACTGAGTCTCTTCTAGGTTCTCTTAGTGGAAGGAGATGCGCGGCGGTGTGTTGTGTTTATGAATTTGATAATAGCAAAAAGAATCACAAATGAAGCCAGGTGGATAATTTTACAATATCTTAGGAAGTGGTATTTTACACGGCCCGAGTGTGCAGCCCGGAGGCGAAGTGAGTGCTTTGGAAATATTAGTGTTTTTAGTGTAGTGTTTGGAGTGGTGGTTGTGAGCATGGCCCTCAGCTGTGGGAAGGAGGTGGCGGCGTCGTCGCTATGATATGTGCGGCCACAGATAGGGAGGCGGCCTGCAGGAGTGTTGGAGGTCCCGGAGGTGGAGTGGGAGGCTTGCTGGGCGCTGGCGGAGTGTTCACGGCGATGCCTCTCTCCCGCACCCGATCCTTGCTGGCCAACATCAACGGTGCGGGTTCCCCTGGCGACACCACCAACACCACCCTTTCGAACACCAGCAGCAACGCCACCACAGGCACCAGCGCCTACCTTGAGGGCGGGAGCACCACCCACTTGCCGCCCCTAAAGCCCCTCACCATGAAGACCACGGGCGCCCAGTCCATCACGCAGCTCTACGAGTTCGACGACACCAACTCGAACTCGGAGCAGAACGGACAGCCGAACTCTGTGTCAAGTCAAGTGAACACCGACTCGTCCAGCCTGCCCGTGGTGCGGCCGCCCTCGGCTGACTCGAGTAGCCTCAAGAACGGCTCAACCAGACAACCAAAGACATATGTAGCTACCCCTGAACAAGTCATGAAATATTATATGAACAAACTTACTCCTTACGAACATAAAGAAATCTTTAACTATCCACAAATCTACTTCATAGGCGCCAATGCGAAGAAGCGGCCAGGTATCATAGGGTCTGGGAACCAGGCAATCTCCTCGAATTATGGGTACGACGACCACCAGGGGTCGTATGCCCACATTCCTCACGACCACATCCAGTACAGGTACGAGGTGCTCAAAGTCATAGGCAAGGGGAGCTTCGGGCAGGTGGTGAAGGCCTACGATCACAAGAGTCACTTGCACGTGGCCCTCAAGATCGTCAGGAATGAGAAGAGGTTCCACAGGCAGGCGCAGGAGGAGATCCGTATCCTCGAACACCTCAGGAAACAGGACAAAGACAATACTATGAACATCATCCATATGTTCGACCACTTCACCTTCCGCTCTCATACGTGTATTACATTTGAGCTCCTCTCTATAAACCTCTATGAGCTTATAAAGAAAAACAAATTTATGGGCTTCAGCCTCCAGCTGGTTCGCAAATTTGCTCACAGCCTCCTCTTGTGTTTGGACGCCCTGTATAAAAACAAAATCATCCATTGTGATATGAAGCCGGAGAACGTACTGCTGAAACAACAAGGACGCAGTGGCATTAAG